ATCTCAAACTTTATAAGTTGTCAGTATGGAGGAGAAAAAAAAATAGAACGCAATATATCATTGTCGGTTTTGATATTGGAATTTTGATTATAATTATTGGTGTATTCACAATGCAAGACGTCTGGATCTAATAAATACAATCGTTATTGAAATTCTGATATTGCACAACTCAGCATTTTATTGAAATCTGAAAAGTTTATTTTCAGCTAAGATAGTAATTTAACTGATGTATATAACACATATAGAAGCAACTTGACGCGATAAATTGCGTTAAAAACACTGAATGTAATGACCTCCTCCCACAGAAAAATTCTATACCTCACATCGACATCCCATTAAGAAATTTCAAACGATGAAAAAATCGTATGGTTGAAAAAGCAACGACAGTCATGTACAATGTTATCAAGAAGGACCGCCTTCACAGTTTGTCAATTAAAAGACAAGAGAAAACAAACACTCTCAACTTTGCACTTTTAATTGACAAATGGTGAACGCGGTCCTTCTATTTTGTTATCTATAATATGTTATTTTTATTCACCAGTGTAAGTTTAGAATGATCTGACGCTACTAATAGAATGTGGACGATGGTAGAAAATTCAAAAAGAATTCAGAACCTGTCAAATGTGCAATACAATCTATATTGGTGATGAATACCACTGCCTTCTAGAATTTCAATTTTTCACTGCCGAAAGGAGAGGTTGTATGCTTAGGAAACAAACCACCTTTGTGATGCTTTGAAGTTTAGGGATCTTGTGATCTTATAAAAAAAGTCAAAACATAAAAAATTTTTTTTTTATAAGAATAATAAACAAAATGGTGGTTCTCTGGGTTAAAACTATGAATCTGGCATTTACTGGTAAACGCTATAACTTACTCATATGAGGCAGAACTCATATAAGAGCATCTTAAGAAAAATATAAAACTAATATTTTCCTATAACTTCAGATTCCGCTTTATGAAAGATTTTCCATCCCTTAATTCATAGTCGAACTTGAAATAAAGGATACTCGAGATACATTTATGGCTGCTTCATTTCTTGATTATTCTAGAAATTGATAATGAGGGTAAGTTGAGAACTCAATTTTACCACATAATTTCAGCTTTCCAATTGTGAGTTGTTTTTCTAACGTTCCGATTCTATGTAGCGTTTTTATCTCAAAGTTAAAAAGATATTCCAGAGCTTACGTTTCCTATCATGATTTACTTGATAGTGGGTACAAAAAAAGCTATTGAACCAAGGGTTTTAAAGGGTGTAATTTTACGGGCGCCATTATGATTTGGTTGACCATAATGGAAATCTATGTCACAGGTGACCAGGGATGTGTTTCAATTATCGAAGCAACCATCCTGTCCTAGCTGTTTCACGATATCGAATGCGCCTAACAACCAACTTTTTACATGCTATGAAAAGACAAGTGAATCAGTATCTGTTCCTGAGCACGTGAGATCGATCATTCCCGGTCTCTGGCGAGGTTCGTGTTGCTCAGTCTTTAGTGTTTAGTTTTATGTTTTGTAGACTGTTATTTGTCTTATCGTTGTAATACTTTTTGGCCATGGTATTGTCGGTATTCTTTGGTTTATGATTGTACCTTAAGTGTCTCGTGTCTCTGTTTTATCTGCAGACACTGTGTTCAGATAAAAAATATAGTTCATTAACATGCAATGGGATTATTTTTGACTTCACAGTTATATACACTTAGCTACAATGCTGTTAATTGCATACTTTGAATGTTTTTGGTTAATTTAATCACAGACTCTCTGGACAATTTACATTACGACAAATTGCTAAGACACATGTCTGTTATTGAAGACTATGTTTTACTCTTGATGTCTTTTTGTTATTTGTACCGTTATGTTGATGTATCTTAAACGTTACCAAAATCACCATTTTTCCTTATATTTAATGACATACCTTTCACACATTGACTGTCTCAGCTCTTACATATTGTATAAAGGGAAATTCAATCCTAATTCGTTAAACTAAATTATCTGTAAGCTCTTCCTCATTCCTTCGGTCAGTATAAAAATAAATGCTTTAGTTGAAACGTACAGTAGAAATAAAATCGGATTTAAAAAAAGCATTTGATTGAATTATTTTTGCACACTAGAAGTTTTATTTACATTGCTATATAAAACTATGACCGGATTAAAGCAAGCGAACAATATCGTAATTCTGCATCAGAAGATTGAAGACGTGCCTTGAAACAATCTTGAAATGTACTTCTACAAAATGTAAGTAATAATGCAAACAAAATCTTGTGCAATGACCATTGTCCTCAATTTAGCGCTGTCAAAATTCTAACCATTCTCCCCTTGATATATATATATATCTTCATCAAGCAACAAATAAAATCAATGCATTATAATCCCAATTCATTTATCCGAACATATTACAAATAGATCTGCATTTGCTCCTTACACAAAAACTATTCCATTAGATTTTCAAGGAATAATAACAGGAGTGCTATGGTCACCATCACGAATTTGTTGGCCGATACGATAATATGTCTGTGTCTTAATTTACCAGCGACATGTTTTCGCCGTCTTAGATCTTAAGATAACAGAATAGTCGTCTATCTTAAGATACCAGAATAGTCGTCTTAGATTTTAAGATACCAGAATTGTCGTCTTAGATTTTAAGATACCAGAATAGTCGTCTTAGATCTTAAGATACCAGAATAGATACCAGAATAGTCGTCTATCTTAAGATACCAGAATAGTCGTCTTAGATCTTAAGATACCAGAATAGTCGTCTATCTTAAGATACCAGAATAGTCGTCTTAGATCTTAAGATACCAGAATAGTCGTCTTAGATCTTAAGATACCAGAATAGTCGTCTATCTTAAGATACCAGAATAGTCGTACCAGAATAGTCGTCTTAGATCTTAAGATACCAGAATAGTCGTCTTAGATCTTAAGATACCAGAATAGTCGTCTATCTTAAGATACCAGATTGCGGTCTATTTTGTAATTTTACCAATTGTGTCCTATTCCCAATTGTGACATTTTGACTGAGTGTTTATACACATGACGGGTGATGCACACATAGCAGGTGACGCACGCATAGCAGGTGATGCACGCATAGCAGGTGACGCACGCATAGCAGGTGATGCACGCATAGCAGGTGACGCATACCCTGTCCACGCACCCGGTCTCGGCTCATTTTGGAGTTCATGCGATTCCCTCAGTTTTTGATTGTAACCTTGATTTGTCTTTTTCCGTCGATTTATGAGATTTTGAATATCGGTAATCTACGGTTGCCTTTGTTTACATCAATGAACTTTAGTTTTTGTTTTAAGATTACTATCTATAATGAATTAATTATGATACTTCAATAATAATCAAAAACCAAAGTCATGGTTAGCAATTTCACAAATGAATTGGGTGATGATTTATACATTCTGTTTGTGAAATTCTGATTGTCTTCCTTATGAAATCACCCCAAAGACCAATTACTATACAATATTAATATGTGTTCTGTCTCGCGAAAAAATATGTATTTGACAAGAAACACAGGGAATAAAAAAATCAAATATTGAACTTTACGGCCATATTTTTGAAATGATGAATTATAGATTGTTTTCTCTGATGTAATTGAATTCATTACAAAAAGCCCAAGATAATGTGGGATTCATCTATTGTGGCTTCCAAACTCATTTCAGCTCTAGTGATAGAAATAATTAACCAGCAAAATTGATTTAACATTTGATTTAATATGAAATTCAGTTTCCATTTGTGTCATACATTTCGGGGTTAACTTTAAGTTTGTTGGATTGTATATTTTCCTCCATAAATATTGTAAAGCTTTTTATATAATCCATAAATATTTTAGAAGTTTTAAAATCTCTCTCTCTCTCTCTCTTTCGTTTTCCTGCCTTGTTTTAGGATGTACATAAAAGGTTCAATCATTATGTTTCCGATGCATTGTGTCCACCACTTGACACGCAACGTTTTCTTAACACATTAATTGACGTTTTACACATGACTTATTCTGAACCAAAGTGCCGACATCATTGCTATTATATTTCATTATGTCATTAACTAGAATTACCGTTATCATGGGCATTCCGGGAGTGCTATAAAAAGGATTCCAATTAGGAAAGTCGGAAATCTTAGAACTGTCATTACCGTATGATTGGGAAAATCCTCTGTGAAGCCGCTGGTACTTTTCTCGTAATTCTTGGGATATTAAATACAATAATACAACTGTATGTGAAATAATCCAATAATATAAGCGCATTTAGTTTCAAAATACAAAGCCTGGAATAAAGTTTCAAATACAGAGACAATAAGGTGATATTGTGAAAGACATATAAAATTATAGTTTAATCCCGGGTTTTGAATATTATGACGGATCATTCATTGCATATTTGAGACATAGTTATACATATAAAAACAATATTTTAGATAAAATTTTGTTGGGTTTTTTGTTGTAAATGAAGGTAACAGGTTTAATTGATTATTTGTTGATTCAGAGATAGCTGAAACAATTTAGTTAACTAAAATAGTGGATATAAAATCTACATCAATAAATATAATTCAAATTTGTAAAACACCTGGCAGGGGATTTTGACATCAGTTTACAAACGAATGATTAGAAGTTTACTAACACAGTCGTTTTGAATATAAGCATGAAAAAACGATATAGAATAGTCATGCATGTAAGTTTTAGATAAATAATAGAACAGTACTAAGCGGTTGAAATATTTTAAGGAGGTCTTTAAAGAACATTCGAAATATGTACAAAGACCGATGTGTTTATTTTTAATTTTGAAGGATATTCGTATATAGACAGATATGTTTATTTTTAATTTTAAAGTAATCGACTCTTGGTTACATTGTACTATATATCTGGTTCCAACATACCTTTCACACTATATTAGCGTCTATAGAAGTATGAAAAGTAACATTATATAAAAAAATTCTAGTATATGTTACTCTATAGTTTTGTAAAACTACAATATTAATCTTATCAATATACAAAAATATTGTTTACTTACCTTCCGAAGAAATTAAAAACGTTATAAGAAGTTGAACTGTCCATAGAGATCGCTGAACCAAAAGGTAATACAATTCCATCGCTAAACTCAATAATATCTCAAAATCCAATGTTTATTACTATACCCTCAGTGGTCACTTTCTCTAGAGCCGTTCCAAGTATCAAAATCAGGAATAAATGTCTTAATTATGCATTCTCGTCTTCAACACATTGAAACAAATTAGTATTTTCCTTGAAATGTCAAGTTTTATAAATCCAATCTAAATTACACAATACTTGAGCGATTTCACATGAAAAAGTATCTCGTATCAATTCGTGAATAGATCTGCATGCAAAACTATTCGACAAAAAATCAGCTATAACCGAGGTGTTGTAACATTACATTACCATGCCTGAATGACATTCCGCTATTGTTACTTTGAGTAATTTCCCAGCTTCCAGAATTATTGTTTATATGATATATTATTTAGATCTTAAACAAAACGTTTATTGTATATACTTTATCTCCTTGATCAAAAGTTTTCATATAGAAGGAATATACTCCAATGAGACGTTATTATTACTTGACAGGATATCACTTGTGTATGTCACTATCGCTTTCCGAGTTCCTCGTCTGCAAAACATAAAGACAATTAACATTAATATTTTATATAATTCGTATCGTGTAAAACTTAATACAATAAAAATACCAATACAAATTAAAAAGGAATCATTGATTGAGTATTATCAAATGACCATATCTCCAATACAATTCACCCATTAAGAGTTCATCCTGATCAAAGATTTAAATTGTCACGATCATAAAACGATAACACTTACAATTATTTACTTTATAAATGTTTTCTAACTAAAAATATCATTAAAACGGAAAATCATCCCATTGATTATTGTACATTGTTTACCAATGACATGTTCTATGCTCAATGATTGTGTTTGTAGAGTATGTTAGTGTTATCACACACAAGAGAATTTTAAATCATTTTGTTTTAATCGACAATTAATATTTCGGTTTATTAATAATTACTAGTGAGAGAATTTTATATCTACTGATGGAAATGTAATTAAAAAGTAGAGTTTTGATGGTTTTGAATATTTTGCTGCTTTTCAACGTTTCATAAACTCAATATTTTGCTCTTCAAGTTTTGGCCTTGTGAACATCAAGTTATATGATGCATATCAATCATGGTTCAAACTATATATGAAGTAGCGATCCACTCCACAAAAATAACAAGCGCATTGATTCAAAATTAACTACAAAATCATAACCTTTATTAATTGTGTTATACGGTTAGAACACAAGATTTGAAGACAAAAAAGAGAACCTATATTGGTTAGCTTTATTGATAATATTTAAATGATAACAGGGTATTTCCTAGATTTAGATATTTCAGTTTCACACGAGAAACTCTACACAAAAAATTACGACAAAAGGGACGATTTTTCTTTCCTTATTGTTAATTTTACTTTTTTGGCATTGCACAAGGTCGTGTTTTTTTCTGACTGTTAATGACATTTTTACACTAAATCCACTGGATGTTGGCTTGGAATTTTAGTATTAGATACATGATTTTTTTGTTAGTTGTTATTGGCTTTGAACTAGCTGCCAGTAACTGCGAGTACTCTCAGATCTGTACTTTTTGTCTAGATATTTTGTTGTGAGGGATGTATAATTACGTTGCCACGTCCGGTCTGTGTTTTTGTAAGATGTTTTCTGCTTTGTATCGATCTGATGAGTTAAGCCCTTTCCAACTTATTTTTTATAGTTTGCTCTTATGTTGAACTGTTACACCACTGTCCCAGGTTAGGGGAGGCTTGGCGCCTTCAAATATGTTTAACACCGCCACATTCTCTATGTGCCTGTCCCAAGTCAGGAGGCTGTAGCTCAGTGGTTGTCGTTGTCTGTAAATTGTTTTGTTGTAAATAAGGCCGTTTGTTTTCTCAATTGAATTGTTTCATATTTTTCACGTCGGAGCCTTTTATAGCAGACTATACGGCATGGATTTTCGTCATTGCTGAAGACCATACGGTAGCCTTCAATTGCTTACATCAATTTCAATTGAACTTTGTAGATAGTTGTCTCATTGGCAATCATACCACGTCTCCTTATTTTTCATATGCTATACCACTATACCCATGCAAGATGAATCATACATCCACTATACCGCCCTATATTTGTGATAACCCACTTAGTAATCATTCTAACAAATTGATAATATTTGAACTCTAAAAATACTAATGTTAATTGGAAAGCTAACACTCTTTGCAGTCAAATGGTCATTAAAAAACCCGAAAAATGTGCACTTCATTAATAGAAAGAGCCACAGGAAAGAGAAAATTATCATCAAGAAAGCAAGAAATATATATATATGGTATGAGGATTACCATAAGAATGCTTAAACCAGTCTAAGTAATAAAACGACAATTCGCCGGTAAACTAGCCAGAGTAAGATCATGTAGATAAATTTTCAGTTGAATTAAAATGATATGATGTGACTACGTCAACGAACAAACAAACAACACAAAAACAACATATCTAAATAAAACAAGTTTCAGTATAAGACATGCCAAGAACGCCAATAGTCCAGAAAAGGTGTGAATACATTTAAAACAGACTATCAAATATCAGTCATCATCAAATTCACTTTATGAGAAAACATAAAAATATAACTAAAGACTACCACCGACAAGGTTCATGACTTTAGACGGGACATAAACATTTTGCAGAGTTAAATGGGTTGAATGAGATCTCAACCCTCTTCATCTCTGGGAATATTCAAATGTACATAAATAAAAGTAAAATACAAATTATACAGTTGTGTCTACTCCATAATAACGGTATGATAGATAAAAAACACAAGTACAAGTAAAAAAATAATATAAAAAAAAATATTAAAGAATGCTCGTAGCTACTGAATACAAGCTAGATGTTGTGCTTTTACACCACCCAATGTCCCAGCCCCATTCTTTATGTACCTGTCCCATTTCAGGACGCTGTAATTAAGTGGTTGTTTTCTTTCATATTTTTTGTTTGTTTTGAACTGTTTCACATTTAGTCCTGTCGGGGTGTTTTATAGCGAACATACGGTATTGGTTTGCTTAAAGACGTACGGTGATCTATAGCTGCTAATATGCACGTCATTTGAACTCGAGTAGATATAGTGGACTCATTTAAAATCATATCACATCTTCTTAATCCTATATAAGTCTTAAAACTGCCGATTTTATGATTCGTCCGACATTGTTAGCGTCTGTAAATGGGCCTGGATTCTTAGCAATGCCACAAGTATAAAAAGAAAACAATATCAAAAATTAATCTATTATAGAGAATTTCAATGTAGAAAAAGCCAAAAAGCATGAGATCTTTTTTTTAATTTCCAATAAACAATAAGTATTTATCCCCAAAGATACCAAACGCAATAACTGAGCACCAACAAAAGAAAATTACAAGCTTTTTTCAATAAGTCTATTGACATTTATTTTTTGTTTCATACCTTTAATGTTTCCGTACAAGGCTGAGTATGAATTACAACGTTTTACTACATTTAAGGTAGTTGGGGTGTCTAAATGTTAGACGATTGATTTTTCTTGAACTTCTGTTAAAGACTTCTTGATCATGTACTTTCAAATTTCGTATAAAAACTAGAGGTCACGGACCTTGTTTTTTCGTTCACATACATTGAAATTAACGAACTCACAGTTATTTTATATGGACTATATAGGGGAAACTTAATTGTTCCTTCTTGAGGAATCATTAAACGATAGGGACACTAGCTTAATTTTCTTGAAAAATAAAACACACAAATTGTTCTATCAGATTCATTATAATTATCTGTATTCTGTTTCACATTCTATGTTTACTATATGTTTTCATAATCTTCCGGAACAAATTGCACTGGACCGATTTCTTACATCACCGTACGTATTGACTGCCTTTAATTTCTGTGACACCGTCTGCTTCAATATTTCAACACATGTAACATGGACGACATTTAATTTTCTGAGGAATTCGAGACATATCACTGTCAAGTACGTTTTATTCATTTATAAACTGTGATAATGTAATCTGTTTAAGTCCGTTAATTTGGATAAGTGATTTATTAAATGCATACGAACTGTAAGTTATTTATATCCGAGATTGGAACTGTAAATTCTACTTTCGTTTTCATTTCATTGTTTTAAATATTTGCATTTACATTAATATGTTCTTTCTTACACTTTGTGAGTATTTCTTTTTGTTTTATTGCAGTTTACCAAACAATCTACTGACTACTTGTAAACCTTTCTGGTGAAATACTATAATTACAATTTTCAAAACAAGTTGTGTTCGTTATATATTTGCCCAGATTGCGATTTCAGTCACCTGGTTAAACTAGTTGAGTCCGGCTCAGCATAGTAAATTGACAACAACTTGTCTACACATCTCCTGAACAGGAAATACAACGGAGCATCGTTCGTAGCTGTTACCTTGACACTACGCAACACAGCTTGTGTGTCCTATGCAGCAAACCAACAACGTTGAACAAACATTGCCTACAGTTAGTTGATTTACATCATGGATACCAGTCACGCGGAACAGCAAGACGAGGTTCAACCCCCAGAGGGAGACGTCTTTAAAGAACAAATACAGAACCCGTCTACTACAACACCTTTAGATGAAAATGCCGAGACTAGGCGAGTACGTGAACTTACCGAAAAGGGACAGGGAGTTTTTACAGTAAAACGTGACAAGTTCTATCATGACTTAGAGGCCCTATGGTCAGACCTAGAATCTCAGTTATTGGAAACGACCACGCCTCCTACCGACCCCCAACAATTGCTAACAGCACAAGATAAAATTGTACAAGCCTGTACTAATTATCGCAGGCTCACAGACGAGTACTTGAAATTTCTTAAAAATACAAGAACGCTAGACAGCCTTCAAGACATTGAGACGTGTAAACTTTCAACAGATATCCGAATGTCTAAAGTTGACCTAGCAATTGAAACCTTACACGAGCATCGCCTCACCCTGACAAAGGCTAAATCTACAAAAACCAAGACATCTAAGGGCAAGAAAACCTCGCACAGTGGGAGCTCCAACGTCTCTGACATGTCAAGTCTTGCACGGAGGAAGCGTGCCAAAGCAGAGGCTGCCAGATCTCAGATAACATTTGCTGAAAAACAGGCCTTGCTACTAAAGCAGGAGGCAATGATAGAAGAACAGACTCTTTTCAAGCAAAATGAAATAAAGGCCGAAGTGGAACAAGAAGCAATCAGAGCAGAGCAAGAAGCCGCAAGTAGAAAAGCAGAGGCGGAGCAAGAGGCCGCAAGTAGAAAAGCAGAGGCAGAGCAAGAGGCCATACGTAGAAAAGCAGAGGCGAAGCAAGAGTCCATACGTAGAAAAGCCGAGGCGGAGCAAGAGGCCATACGTAGAAATGCTGAGGCTGCACACCTAAAAGCTGAAATGAAACGTGAAGCCGTACGCAGGAAAACTATAATGGAACAAGAGGCTGCACGTGCAATACGGGAAAAAGCCGAAATTAAGGCTGCTATGAACATTCTAGAAGCACAAAGAGAAGCCGCAGCCGCAGAAGCCGAGGCTCGTATCCTTGGATACGACGGCAGCCAAGAATTT